ATTCGTTTATCCTAAGTAGTACTTTAAACTTGTAACAGTATACATCTATTTATAATCTAAATTTTATTGTTTTATTGCCCTTTGAACCATGTCTAACTACAATCTGTGTCATTGTAAGTTGTAAATCACTCAGGGAACATGCTACATTACCCACAAGCTGCTCGCTTGCATGCCTCATGAATCATTTTTATTATATTATTATTATTTATTTTACCTAATTTAATCTTAACTAATCTAAAAAGATCCCTATTTTTACATTTTAGTTACTTTTATAATAATAAATAAAGAATACACATGAAAAACAAGAAATAGAGTACTTACCCAATCATTTTTCTTGCTGTCAGTTGTTGATGACACTTAACCCTACTTTTTTATACTGATGGTAGTAATGCACTAAATAATTATTTAATTAAATATAGCACCAAAAACATAGACTAATAACATTCAAAAAGTAGACAATTTCCCCTAACTCTCAAAATTGTTCTGGCTTTCTAACTATGCAACAAGAGCTGTTACAAATTCATCCAAGCTAGTCATTAACTTTTCCATGGAAACGAAGCTTGTAGTCTGAGTGAAATGAATGCTTATCTGTTCAAAAATCAACGTTATACAATACGTTATTTGATAGATGAAAACCTTGACTTTCAATTGGTTATAGTTAATATATAACTAAATGTAAGAAAGAACTATAAACAAATTCTGAAAGAGTGGTTGTGGCAGGAGGGGTCTATTTGATAGCTCTGTAACTAAACAAAATTGAAGGCTATAAAATTATGGTTTGTCTGAGCAATGAAGATTTTATACTGAGTAATTTATGTTTAATTTTGTACATTTTGGAGGGGTGGTGGATAAAATAGAGAGGAGAAGATACCAAGAGAAAATGTGTTATGTGTGTCACACTAAGGGAAATTCAGGATTTATTTTAAATATTGCCTTATAGAATTATAAACTTAAAACTTGCATACTATAAAAATATGGATTATTAGCTAAGATTTTATGCCATACTAATTGGTATAACATAAACAAAAAGTAGTTTTATAAAATTATGAACGTGAGACGCTAAAAACTTTGTGTCATGCACAGTAAAGGATACACATGGCGATAGGTTATATAAATAGAAAACATATTTTGAAGTTTTGTTTGTTTTGAATATTTATGTAAAGCTACTCAATCTATATGCACTGGCAGTCCCTAATTTTGAACTGATAGAATACAGGGAAGAGACAGCTAGTCAGCAACAACTACTAACAGTTCTTGTCTGACAAAACAATGGAATTTTAACATCCCCTTAATAATGCACCCAGGGCCCCATATCACTGAGTGTGTTTTGTGGTAAGGGGACAAGAACACTGAACATGTAGATCCACTGTCTGGCATACTAACCACATGACTATGCTCGTCACATACCTTAAATGTATCAAAACATTCTCATAGAATAGCACTGGAGCTATTTTCTCAAAAAGAAGTTTTAAATATCTACTTAAAAGTTAATTAACCTGTGAATGGACTACTGTCATAGTGCTATGGCTCCCTCTAGTGGGAAATGTCACCTCTTCAATTGCAGGAAGTTCTGACACTGTTTCCCACTCTCCAGCAAAGTCCGCATCCTCTGTGCCCATAGTGTGTTCTTCAGTGAGCTGGAGGTCCTTTTCAAGGGATTTCTCCACCGAATCTAGAAGTTGTGTGCTAATTTCATACACACCACACCTAGAATAGAAACACATGATACTTAATTCTTGGAGTGCCATACAAGTAGGTCCAACTAAGATTTTCAGTATCTCATTAAAATTGTTGCTCACCTCAAGCTACAGTATGCTTTTTACATAAAACTTGATACACAGTCTCTAAACACTGGTAGATAACCGCATATAAAAAATTTCATTTTATTACTTGCTAAACCTTTTCTTTATTATGCAAAATATATTTTTAATTGTTTACATTTTTGTAAGACATCCAGGCATTAATATCATATTAAAGTAACAAATCAGTTTTTACTTAAATTTGCTGGAGTGATAATACAGATGAATCTCGTGTCAAAGATCGAACTACAAAGATATAGAGTACACATATTGAAATTTACTAAAGAAATCGGTAAAAACAAGTATTTCTCTTATATTATTGATCAACTAGTTTCAGTACAAACAAAAAAGTACAAATTTCTTAGAAACATAGGACACCTTATTTATTAAAAAAAATAAAAGGAATATTTAATGAATTTGATTCCAAATCAAATTGTTTTTGTGTTACCAAAATTCACAAAATTAAAGAAATAATTTTGGCTTGTTCTAAATTAAAGTTAAAAGTAAGTAACTCACCTACAATTGCTCTATGCCTAGTAGTTGTAAAGAAAAATAGTGGAATAAGTCGACATTGCACATTTCTTCTATCTTAACTGTTTTTAATTTTTAATGATGGAAGGTGTTCGCCAACACCTAGACAGATTAACACTAAAGAAAAACACAGTACAGTATGGTGTAGCTAAAGGAAAGGATAATAGTATGGAGCTAAAGCTAAAAATATGGAATCACTAGAACAGTATAAAGCCAGAAAACCACTGGTAACATAGACAAAAGGATTCTCTTCTAGGTCCCATGAGGTAGCCATCCTCCACAGGAGTGGTTAGTTCCTATAGGTACAACTTCCGAGATTGTCACATGCAAATTTCTTCAGTTTATTTAAACTTAGCTGTTTTAAGAGAAGGCCTCATTTTAAAGATAATTTAGCCTGTTTCAGCTATAAGTTGACCATAAGTTCCTTCCAGAACCAAACTAATTTTTTATATACAATTTATGTGTGCTGATTTGTTGGAAATAAATAGCTTGGTTCTAGGTTGGCCTCTTTGCACAATCTTAACTTTAATTAGTTTACTACTTTACAAATGCTGACTGAACAACCATGCCACAAGTAGGAAACTGTGGCTCCAATGGCTCAAGTATTCATTCCAAGGTTGCATCACGTATTATTTAAAAAAAAACAATGATTGAATATCTGAAGGGCAACATGAACAAACAAAAGTTGAATAAAATTCTACAAATGAGCAACTACCTCTAGATGTCAAGATGGACCCATTGATGATGAAGACGGCACAAGCTACACTATTTGGCAGAACAAAGTGCACAAGCTGTCCATTCTGGGAATTACCACAAGTGAATTCATAAAGTGGTCATTCAGAGTGACCTTTATGATCCACAAAAGTTTTCTCAGATAAAATAAAATTATTTTCATACATTATAAAACATGACAGCATTTCTAAGATAGTCCAAGTTCACCTCTTATAATTATATTCAAAGATCTACACCGACATTATTCTGACATAGGTTTCTTGACCCACATATTTCATCAACTCATACTGTCTAGATATTTTTATACATTACGAAGTACTTCAAGCAGTTTCTTTTTGTTAAAAACTCAAACCCAAACACCGTGGATGTGGCAATAAGATGATTTCTTAATTGTAGATTCAATTTTTTCTCTCTCAAAACAATACAATAAAAAGCCATGATACCCAAGTAGAATCATTATCTAGATGAAATTCTCTTAAAGTGGTAAAACATGTTAAAACGACTTTTTAAAATCCTTTAGGTACACATCAGCATCTTCTCTGGAAAAATTGTAAACATTGACCTTTTTTTTCCCTTCACCCCAATGACCTGAAATTAGTATACCAGTTAAAACAAGCCCTGTCATACAGTTAAGAACTGAGACATGAGAATGGGCCTCATGAAGTTTTTCTTCATCAGGAACAGTCTTTAGGGGCAAAGGTGCAATCAATAACACCTTTTCCAAATGATACAACCTCTGGATCCAGTATGGAATAGACCTTCAGTTTGTGACAGTCTAGTAGTGGAGACAGGGCAGTGGGGTGCAGTGCACAATGACATCTATTTTATGGAACCTTGGGCTTGCAAGAAAGGGCAGTGGAATGCAGTACACAATGGCATCTATTTTATGGAACCTTGGGCATGCAAGAAATGGCAGTGGGATGCAGTGCACAATGACATCTATTTTATGGAACCGTGGGCATGCAAGAAATGGCAGTGGGATGCAGTGCACAATGGCATCTATTTTATGGAACTGTGGGCATGTAAGAAATGGCAGTGGGATGCAGAGCATAATGGCATCTATTTTATGGAACCTTGGGCATGCAAGAAAGGGCAGTGGGATGCAGTGCACAATGACATCTATTTTATGGAACCTTGGGCATGCAAGAAAGAAGAACCAGATCATTGTTGGTCCATCATAAGGTTTTATGGAACACATCAATGATGCCTGAAACACTTCAGAAATGGAATTGATCACAAATACATTGAACGGTATGAAAAGAACCATTATAAATGGCTATAATTAACAAATAAGGTAACTACAACACTTACCTTGGTTATTATTTCTCTTAATTATTCTTTGATGCCACAATGATATTTCTATGGAAGGAAGTTATGCGTAAATTGAACTGCATATAAATATGATTCCCTACAAGTTTCATTTAATCAGAACTGGGGTCAGAAACAGCCCTTACAGGCACTTCTATTTTTATATTGGGTTTTACTATTAATTATCTTGCAGATTTTATGAAACTGGGAGGAAATGGAGTGACACTGTGAAATAATTGTTTCTTTAAATCTATTTATGATAAATAAATAGTTTATATTGGCTTCATTTAAATAAATATTTCTTGTTATTTACTTTGTCTATTGGAAGTAAATTGCCTAGACAGCTTACCTACTATGAGCACCTGTTACAGAATGTTATTTATTTACACTTTGTAACATGCTTATTTAGCAAGTGAAACATTCACCCAACTTACCTCCCAAGATCACTTGCATTAGGGTCCAAAAGGAGGAGGAGGTTTGGAATCGTCTGCCGAGGACTCAGAAGCTTTGAATCAATGTTCTGAGATAAACAGAGATGAAGAACGTTTGCATTCAACTTGGCCACTTTGTGTGCAAACTGTTCCTCCGTGAGCTCATGACTGCAAAACTCGCTGTAAACATTAAAAACCACCAATATAAGATATGACATTTCCTGATCACTTCTAACCTTAGGATACGTATTCATAACTACAGAAGAAACAGTTAATTTCTAGAAGCCAAAGTGCCACCTTACAGAAATTACTCAGTAAAATGACAATATATAACTATTTCTATAACCGACATCTTTTTAAAAAGAGAAATTAGTGTTTCAATTATCAAATACAACTTTGATTAAAGTAAATAATTATAGTTAGAGGGTAATATTGAACATCAGGACAATATTGTTTTCAGGATGGTATATCTTCAAAACAAGTAAAGATAAACTCAAGCAACCTAGTTGGTTTTACACACTTTATTTCCATGTTTTTGTGAAAACACAAAGATTATCACATGTTATTGGATCACTATTTTAACTTAACAAATTAACAGAAATAATTCTAAATATGTTGGAGAATGGCTGACAGAATTGTATAATAAACCAAAATATAGTATATAACAACATATAATTTAAGATTTTTCAGATAAGCATAAATAATTTAAATACCCTGCATGTACATGAAACTATGTATGGCCCAACAGATGGCACTAGTGAAAAATGTACAGATTTAGGGTCATTAGAATCTTTTATATGATAGTGAGTTTCCAAATTACTCAAACATACCCTGGTCTTACCTGTAGCATAAGTTCTGTGGCAGTTGTTGATTCAGATAGAAAGCTAATACAGACACTAACTGTGTGAGGTGTGTTAAGGCTGCAGCAATGTTATACCCTGGGTTTCTTAAACAACTCTCTCCTGATCCACTTGGTACAGATTCTTTGTGCTGGGTAACTAACACAGACAGAATAAGATGTTAAGATAACAAAGTACTATGTATCCTACTGTTTGTACACAGCAGTCTTGTGGGCTTGGTACAGATTCTTTGTGCTGGGTAACTAACACAGACAGAATAAGATGTTAAGATAACAAAGTACTATGTATCCTATTGTTTGTACACAGCAGTCTTGTGGGCTTGGTACAGATTCTTTGTGCTGGGTAACTAACACAGACAGAATAAGATGTTAAGATAACAAAGTACTATGTATCCTACTGTTTGTACACAGCAGTCTTGTGGGCTTTTAAATTTTCCACCACACTGTTTTGTTTATTTGGTGTTTTACACTTTCATTTTTAACTACATATGAAATATAACCAATACTGGACATTATTTCCTGCAGAGTGCTCTCATTCTAGTTATTTTTTTTTGTAAATCTTACATTAAAATCTAATCCTAAACATATTAAAGTGTACTCTGAAAAAAAATATAAGTGTTTCAAAATTATAAATGAAAAATGTATTAATGGTTTTAATTTCATGCTACAAAAATCCATTACCTAAATGAGTAATATAAGCAAGTCTAAACCTAAGCCCAGCAGTAAAATGGAAAAAGCAGCCCACATATTGAAACCAAAGCTCTGAACCTAACCTTTCTCAGAGAACTGAGATCATATAGTCTAAAACTTAAGAGCCTTGACTTACCAAATCTACCTTAGAGAAATGAGAAATACAATAAATCTCAAAGTTTTACAACAGAGAACTCATACTACAGCAAGTTCCAAACCTACCCCAGACAGAGTAAGCAGAGTAATCTCCATTCCCATTCAAGCAGGACTTGACAATCTGGTACTGGAGGTCCCAATTGTCGTCTGTGTAAATCCACTTGCCCTTAACGTAAGTAGTCTGCTGGGCTTCGGCTAGATCTGCTACGGGTCCAACAGTTTCATACAGTCCAACAGTCATACAGTCCAACAGTTTATCCTGGCTACTGAAATGATGAGATTAAGTATTAGATAACATACAGTGCTAAAATACAGATCTAAAGGCTACAAGTACAGATAGATAAGTACATAAATATATACCGTGGTCATTTATAAATATGGATAGATAGAATGTTATTTGTTGTTAAACAAAATAATGCATTATGGGTTATCTGTGCTGTGCCCATCACAGGGATTGTACCAAAAATTTTAGAACATCTATAAGCCTTCAAGAAACAGAAGGAATTAATATACATTTGTTAAAAATAGCAGTTGCAATGATTTTAACTAAACAGACATAGGAATTCTCACAAGAACTAATCAACATAAAAAAACATTTTGTGGTTATTCTGAGCACCATATAAAAAGATTTATATATGTTGTCACCTCACAGTTACAATCACTGTAAAAAAACAACAACACTATGTTTATGACTTGTCCACTGAAACTTAGGGCACCCCTTTCGTAATTCGTTTGTGGGTATTTTCTTAATGGTTATTCCATAGCGATAACATTTGGACTGGATGGCCATATAGCAATTATCAGCATCACTACATTATAGCCTCATTTGTAAATAATGGGGGTAGAATTCAATTGAGTTTATGGATCATTGCACAAATTAAAAACAAAAGCTATTTAAAATTTCTTGAAACAATTAACTTATCTTTGTTTGGATGGAGATTAAACATGTGTACTATTCTCACATAAATTAGATAATTACACATACATGTATATTCTAACCTGTTGTTTTTTGTTAATTGTGAAATAATACAACCTTCAAGTTTTGATTAAACATGTGTACTATTCTCACAGAAATTAGATAATTACACATACATGTATATTCTAACCTGTTGTTTTTTTGTTAATTGTAAAATAATACAACCTTCAAGTTTTCATGTCAGATAGCAGATGTTAGCCTTTGTCAAATTCAAAATACTAACACATATTTTTTTATATGATTCATTATATTTGTAGTACTTATAGAGAAAAATTGTGGTGCCATTTTATGATTTGAAGATATGATCATTTAAACATATGTTCACAGATATACAAAAGTTGCAAGTAAACCTTGTTCCTTTATGTTATGTTGTGCCAGTATAATATATAAAACACCTTAATTTTTCTGTACTTGCATTACCTTCTCTTTTCTTCGGGTGGCATGTAAAGATACCAGTAATAGCTTGTGTGGTACAGTCCTTGTACACCAGTAATAGCTTGTGTGGTACAGTCCTTGTACACCAGTAATAGCTTGTGTGGTACAGTCCTTGTACACCAGTAATAGCT